GTAGCAGTCAGGGAGATAGTCCCCGGGATTTCCGGTCGATAGGGCCGAAAGGGGTAGTCATACCCAGTCATGTTATACAGATTATGATTATGTGATATATGTTATGTGGTAGTAGTAAGGGGGTGAAATAGTCCCCAGTATCCGTCGAAAGGACCGAAGGGGAGGCCAGCACCCAGATATGCTAGGTAGTATCCGGTCGAAAGGACCGAAGGGGAGGCCAGCACCCATATGCTAGGCAGTATCCGATCGAAAGGACCGAAGGGGAGGCCAGCACCCAGATATGCTAGGCAGTATCCGGTCGAAAGGACCGAAGGGGAGGTCAGCACCCAGATATGCCTGACAGTATCTGTATGTTATGTGATTGTATGGTATGTGGTACGATGGGGGAACTCACTAAGCTTCGTGCTTACAGTTTAACATTTGTTTCAGGTACCTCTTCAGCGAAGGGGAAGGAGCTGGCGCGGTAGCGGCACATCATACACACACGCATTGGTTTTTCCGCATTATGAGATGTTCTGGGATTGTACTCTGACATTATTATTATTTTTATGATTTGGTTTTTCAGATACGAGATATAATTTATGAAATGGTATGATCGGATGATGTTTTACTACAAATGTTTTACAAATCACTTATTTTAAATGAAATTTTTGGACGTGAAAATTGGGTCGTTACATAAAAAGTAAGCGACGAAGTTCTGCTCGCAGATATTTGGAGTATGCCAATCAGGTTAAGTTACACTTTCACTTAGTATAACTGACATGAAGAAAGATCCTTGTCGTTATTATGAACATGTGTATTAGATTAATCATTAATCCTAGTTATTATATTGATTGATCTACTTATGGGTGCGATGTCTAGGATAGACATGTTGGTGAAGGTTGTTGGATTTCAGAAAAGTTATATGCTGAAACGATCTTGCCTTCCGACTGTATTGACTGGTTAATCCTTATTTGATAGTCATTCAGTGTTATTGGAATTAGTGAAGTATCTAGATTTGTTATCTAAGTTATATATTATATATATATATATATATATATATATATATATATATATTAGTTATAATATTATAGGTTAATACGTGGTTGGTGTTAGGTGCATTTCATGCACTCATTTTGTAGCTTTATTTCATAAAAATGCATTGCATACAGGTTTAAACTCATGCATTTTGCATGTTTTTCGGGATTTATCATAAGGCCATTTCATTCACACACTTTTGTAATATTTCAGGGACTTTTTGAGGTAAGATCTTGCTAGAGGAGGTAAATAAGAGATGTAGACAAAATTTCAGGACTTGCGGAGCACCAGGGGTGAAGATATTGAAGAATTGAAGATTTTAGCAATGCAGTGATTTACACGGCCGTGTAAACTATAGCCTTGAGTTTACACGGGCCGTGTAAACGAAGATACTTAAGGATCGCACTTTGAAGGCCCAACCAATTGAAGCAATGTACTTTATTAATTACATGGGCCGTGTAAACGACAGTGTTAATTTACAGGGGCCGTGTAAACGTGGTCGTGGGTTAAAAGTAGTTTTTTCATTTTCTTAAAGGGTGCAACCGGTTTCATTTTCTTTCTGTCGGTTTTGGGAGCTTTGGGGGTGATTTTCTGGAAGATTTTGGAGTCAATTAACACTTAAAACATTTAGATTTCGTTTGGATTTCATTTTGTAAGACTTTAACTTCATTTTCTAGATTTGTGTTTCAATTCTAGTCATGTGTGGCTAAACCCTAGATTCTCCAACTTTATGTCTTGACATTTGGGTGTGATTTCAATCATATGACTTGGTGTTTGTTTCTAAATTCAATCTAGTGAATTTGATTTCGTTTCAATTGAATGTTTGATTTAATTATGATTCTTATTGGCCATTCGAATTGGAATTAGGTCATTCAAGTTATCTAATTGCAAAATTCGTAATTGTTTTGTGAATTGGATTAAGTACAAAGCACTAAACTGATTTCCATTGAATGAATTTAGTGTAAATCTTATTCAACCACTCTTACATTCCCGAGCTTGTGATGAGTATTGAGTGTTGTTGGGAACATTCACATAAAGTTTAATGCAATCTTTCAACCTAACTATAAGAGCTTGTTTAGATTAGATGTGTAAGGTTAGAGTTAATCAAAGAGCTTATTTTGATTAATCAATGTGGTGAATGAGAAATACTAGAGCTTGTTAGCATTTCCACGTACCAACTTAGATAGAATTGAACAAATATCATTTCATCCTTGGAATCACATTGCTAATTTGTCTTGCATGGAGTTGGAGTACTTACAAATCTTGAATTTATTTTATTTAATCAATTGCTTACTTATTACTTCAGTCTTTTTGTTTGAATCAATGCATATAAATCCCGCTCTTTTGTGATCACATTTGTACCTTACGCAAAAAGGTATAATCATTTGTCTCGTGTCTCCGTGGATCGACCCTGCTTACCATGTATTACATTTTTAGTGCAAAGTAACAGTGTTCGTGGAGTCATTGTGTACCCCTTTATTTGTTGGGTCTGACAAGCTCAACAGTTGGCGATCCTGTTCGCCAGTTGGAAAGTTGTTAGTCGTCTGAGAAATTGTCTAGCTGAGTTATCTCACTATATTGTATATTACAATATATATCCTATGCATGTTAGGATTTAAATATGTTGTAGTATTATGTTAAGCAAATAGAATAACTTAGTAGATTGTATTCTATCATTAGACTCTTCGTTTCTTTATTATATCATTTTGTGAGTTGAGGGTGGAGCAACTTTGTACTGAAGGCCAAGATACTCGAGGCAGACCAACTTTACACTGAAGGCCAAAGGGGCATACCAACTTTATGTTGAAGGCCAAATGGGCAGACCATCCTTAGGCTGAAGGCCATTATTTTGCATACGTGGACTTGAATAATCTTATAATAATTGGTTTGTTAGTTATATTGTTTTTGGATATGTATATATGAGGAGTTGACGGCGGAACGATGATAGGATAGAGTCTAGAGACTCGTGTTGACGACGGAACAACGATAGGCGGTGAGTCCAGATACACATGTTATTGGAGGACGACAAAAGGTCATGACCCACTGTTGTATGCATCGTATATGTATTGTGATAGGTATCTTGAGAAACTCACTAAGCTTTGACTTATAATTGTTTGATTAACTGTTTTGCAGATACTCTTCATATTGTAGGAATGGAAAGACTTGACTGTACACACGCACATCGGTATCATGTTAAAGATTCCCGCATGTTCTATTTATACTATGATTTCAATAGCTTGACTACCTCTGTGTTATTTTTCTCGTTTCGACTATCATTGTGTTATTTTGTTGTTCCGACCACCCTTGCATTGTTTTTTCGGTCATATATAAACATGTTATTTTTTCGTTCAGACTATCAATGTGTTATTTTTTCATTTCGACTATCTTTATGTTTTTTTTTTCCGACTATATTTGTTATTTTTTTTCGTTTGGACTATCCGTGTGTGTTATTTTTTTCATTCAGACTATCCATATGTTATTTTTATTTCGTTCAGACTATCTAGTGTTATTATTTTGTTTTGATTTTAATAACCCTTAAATAAAATTCACACACAAACATACATATAATTGTTCATAATTTTTTTAAACAAAAATAAAAAAATAACACATGATTAGTCCGAACGAAAAAATAATATATGGTTAATCTGAACGAAAAAACTAACACAATGATAGTCACGAAAAAATAACACATGGATAGATGGGACGGTAAAATAACACAAAGATAGTCTGAAAAACTATATATAAAAGATGTTTTCAAAATCACAAATAATTAAAAACAAAATGACATAATTAATTAACATAATAATAATAATAATAATAATAATAATAATAATATTAAAGGAAAACAACATAAGAAACAAAATTAAAAATTTGATTTATGTCAAATTAAAAGGATATGCAAAACAGCACCATTTATAAAACCTTTATAAAATATGAGACCGAAAGAATTATATAATTGTTATATTATGTACTATGGATGAACTCTTAATGATAGTAATAATTGATGGACTTTTTCTCACATAATGGTGATTTAAATGGAAATAAGAAACAAATCCGTATTTTGTTATCCATTTGTATGCAAGCATCTTAATGGAGTTGCGTGGTCATTATGCATTATGAAGAGATTGTCGAAACCTGAATTTTTTTTTTCAAAAATATTTATTTTTTAAACCTAAACTAAAGAAAACACTAGTCAATACACAAATAGGGACTATTTTTGCAGTTTGTTCTGGATATTTTAAAATATTTATTAAATTAATTGCCAAAATATATTTAAAGCATACTAAATAAATAATAACTTGTCAATTAAATAAGCATCATCGATGATTAACTTACAATTGTATTAGATATATAAGCAACTTTTTAATTTACATACATTAATAAGAAATACTAAAACACAAATTGTAAAGAAGAACATATTTTGGACACAAGTTTATTTTAGATAACTAAATTTAAAACAATCACTAAAAGACTTGGACTTAATTATTATCATTTAAAATAAAGGTAAACGTATATTGTATTGTCAAAGTTATTAGTAATTGATTGGATATGTTGATGTGATTGTGACCCCACAGACCAAGTGTGGACACACGATATTAACGTTATTGTGTCTCAATGCATTTGTGTGTTTGCTTGGTACCATGAATCATGAATGTTACATCTTCTATTATACATGTTGCAAACATTCTTAAGGAATGTTTGCAAAATTGACTTATTTTTAACATAACATATTCATTTAAATAAATAAATAAATAAAATTGAGCAAATATGAGAGCTTGGTCTAAAATGTCTCATTTTACCAAATGTAAACGAAGACAATGGTTTGTTTACAACAAATAAATCCTATATGTAGCTTGCCATGCACAAATTTGAATAATAAATGTTACAAAATTTAATTTTAGCGATTTGGTTAATTCACAAGAATAAAAATACAAAATCAGTATTATAAAAACTTACCCTAAAAGCGTTGCCATGGGTGACTCTCATGGCTTCCATCCAAACCATGAGGTTAGACCCTTAGGCGGCCTTTGGGACAACTTCCCGTCCCCATGCTCCAATTTAGGGCTTTGTTGGATATTCTTCTTCTGTTGCTCCTGGATCTGCGAATCGTCTAGTACTTCAGTTATTTGTTCTCTAATGACAAACATGATGCATTAGAAAGATATTGATGTCAATGAACAAATATTTCACAATAATTGCAATTTTTGCTGGTTAGATCCCTACATATTTATCTCTTTTCAACTAGTTAGTAGTTGTTGTCTACTATTTTATATTTATTAATATTGCTTTTACTATTCAAGAAATAATTTCTATGTGTTAGTCTTAGTCCCTATTTTTCTTACCTGGATTTTATCATATACTATTTTTGCATTTTTTTACTAATTATCTTTACTAACCTGTAGTCATTGCTCTATACTTATCATTTAATATTTACTAGTTAATATCTAGTCTAGTATCATAATTATTAGGTGGGTGAGTTTTGGTAGGGTAAAATCATGCACCTTTGTATACATGGTAGCTTGAGGCATTGTGATAGAAACCCGAATGCAATAACAGATAGTCAAACTAGAATATGAGATATATAGATCTACGAAGCTATTTGATTACTAAATGGAAATAAGAACAAATCAGAAAGGAAATCCAAATGATTGTCCTCCTGCCTTAATCAGAAAAGTTATCTCAAGAGAAACCTCTGCCCAAGCTAATGCCGATACTCAAAGCTTACAAAATACTGAATGCCTCACTACTCCTATCACTACTCTATTTATGCTTATGCTATTCTTGCGATAATTCTAGATAGGGTGCAAAATAGATAATATAGATATTACAATTAAGTCCCCCATGTTTACCCATATATTTATAAGGCCCATAGCACATTCTCTATCACATTGTTAGTTGGAGGACGAGTGAGTTAGAGGTTTGTAGAATACCAGATTACCAAAATGTACCCTAAGTGTAAGATCTTTGAGTGTGAATTAGTTGGAACCAACAATGGTTTGGATAAAAGAAAGTAGACATTGCTTGTATTTTGTAGACTAGGTAAAAAAGTCGAAAGTTGGCGAGTCTAATAGGTAAAATCATGGTATGGAGGTCCAAGGAATAAAAGAAATGGTGTGTGTGTGGGTCTTATGGTTATCGAAGCTCAAAGATAATGTAGTATAAGTTAGAAGATGTCATGATATGATCATTGTGCTCAGTGTCATTGGAGCATGTAAGTTATTTGTTTTTTTATTGACCAGTGAGTGGTCAATATACTTTTATGTTTTGTACATTAATATTCATCATTTGATCTTATTGCATTTACCCCCTTAATTATTATGTTTTCAAATATTTTTTATTTATTACTAATTAATTATTTTCTATGAAATATTTAATGATATTCATCTATAAAATATAATTTATAAACGATTTATAATATCTTTATTCTTTTTTATAACTAGACATATTATTTTTCCGAACATGTTATCGTAAGATATTTCTTTTGAAACATTCTAATTATTTGAAATATGATGTATGCTTCAAAAATGACTAATTAAATGAGAGATGTATTAAAACATGGGAATTCGTAAGGTATATTAAGGATGTTAGTGGTAGAGTTGTTGTGAAAGATGAGGAAATTAAAAGATGATGAATGTAGAGGACATTAAAGAGCGATAGCAGACTTACAATGATGGGCTCTATATGAAGATTAAAAGTGAGAAATTGAAGAGGGCAGGGCTCTATGGAGGATAAAGAGGACACCCGATATTATTCAATTAAAATAGGCAAACAAACAGTGAGGCCTAATTTCTTCACATCTTGATATGATCAGAAATAATTCATAAGAATTGAACACACAAAAAGGGTGGGTAAATCTTGAATTAGCTTTGAGTTTTACCTGTCTCTCTGGTGTTGATGGCATGACTGCGGATCTATAATCGTATTCTTCTTCCTCGTCATCTAAGTGATCACTTACATCAGAAAATGATGATGATGACGAACTTGATTCACTGCTACTTTTCCCTTGATAACCTGGATTCAAAATAAAAGATGTTACATACGTACATTATCAATTTCAGAAAAACTATATATAACTCTACTTTTTCATTACCTTTCTCACCCACATCGCTTGTTTTAACCTCATCATTGTGTACGTACCCCCCTAAAGTTGAAGAACCCACATCACAACTCTCATGGCGATGGCTGGATTGGTTGTTTGGTTGGAAGGATAAAGAATCTGATTCAAATTTACTTTTTTCTTTTCGTGTCTCATCCCCATTAATACTTGCTTTAAACTCATAAACTCTGCCATCTCTTGTAACATGATGGACCTTCACCATGTCGTCATCATCAGAAGATCGGCTTCTTTGACTAACATTCTCACTTGCCCCAAAAGTATAATAACCCTCGTTTTGCCTGGATCCCCCTCCCTCATGGTTTGGTTGGAAGGATAAAGCATCTGATTGAAAAGTGGGTCCACTTGAGTCGTATGGAGGATCATAAGGGTTTGTTCTTGGCATCATATCCGAGGGAGTGGACTCAACAACAGTTTCATTGAAATCGTAAGGAACATCCATTGAATTCCTTCTTGTAGATGCATTGGAGTTCCTTCTTGTTGATGCAATGGGAGTGGAACTATAAGAAATATCAAGATTTATGTTTACCAAATTCTCCTCAGCTTGAATCCTCATGTTCTTAGTGCTTTTTGCCTAGCGACAAGATTCTCCATATGCTGGTTTCTCTCTATTTCTTTTGATTTCCCCCAAATTTCTCAGATTCTTTTTGTCATCTTCTGTCCATGTATGTGCTTCTTCTCATCATCATCATCATGATCATCTGATTCAAGAGAATGATTGGAAGCAGCATATGCGTTAACATTCGACATTTGAGCATGGTGAGGAGCTTCTGCTTCTGCTTTCTATGAACATGCAACATGTGAGCATGATGAGGAACTTCTGGTTCATTTCTATGACCATGCAATGTCTGGGCATGATGATGAGGAACTTCTGATTCGTTTCTATGAGCATGCAATGTCTGAGCATGATGATGAGGAACTTCTGGTTCGCTTCTATGAACATGCAACATGTGATTATTCTGAGGAACTTCTGGTTGCTGAAGTGGAGGAAGATCATGAACCATTGGAAAGGCACCAACCATGGAAGCAGTTGGGAATGAACTTTCAGAATGCTGAGATCCTGTCTCCCATCGTTTATGATCCTCATATTGTTGGCATGTGGAGGCTGAAAGTGAGCACAACGGTTTCACAAACATAATTTTCTCTCCACCCAATCGATCTTTTGATTGTGATTGCACACTTCATTCTTTGCTTCTTCTTTTAACTTCTTATAAGCCATTAATACACTGTTATCATCGAGTTTCTTCGTTTAATAATTTGTACCCTAGGATGATCATCATTAAGATTCACATTACTAACATCAGAATTTTTCTTCCCAATAGCATTTTCTCGCGTTTCACTTCTTACACCTTTCCCACCAATATCAGTATCTTCGATAGCCCTAACTCGCAGATTGTGGATCTGATGATGATGATATTGTTGTTTTCCTTCTTTTCGGATTTTGGATGCATTTTGATGACCAAAAAGTAACAAAGTCCAAGCAGAACAGCAGTGGATACGAGAATAGGAGAAGCATAAACCAAAAGAGAAAACAGCAGAGAGAATGAATCGATAAAACCAAATCGTAAAAAGAATCAAAACAACCACCACGGATGCTTCGAAGCTGATCTATAACAAGCTCTGATTGCAATGATAGCGTGCTTTTTGTCCAATTCAACCCCCATTATAACTAGCTGTCCTCCAAAATCGTCCTCGTTTTCCTAATTTGACCTTAATCATGAGCTGTTTCAGATATCCGTATATCAGATCATTTCAAAAGGGAGAAGATAGTACCTTTCAGATTTTCTAAAGCCAAGGAAAAGGGAGAATGGAAAGGTAGCGATATATTCTCTGAATTGATTCACTCTGTTTTTTTCCTTTTCGTGAAATTCACAGCATGAATATGCTGCATATCAACGTTTGCAAAGTGAAATTGAAAGAACATCAGGGTGGCGTGAGCCGGTGGCCGGTGGCGGGAACCATTCACGTAATAAAAATTGGCGCCATTCGCAAGTACTTCCTGTTCTATAATGCTGGTAGCTGCTGTATAAGAATTTGAAATACAGTAAAAATCCAGATACACAGCAGAAATATGAAATTCATAATGAGAGGGTTACAATAAAAATCCAAATGCAAACAGAAATAAGAATAATGGAAGTTACAGCATCTGATTTTTATTATTATTATTATTATTTTTTTTTAAAAACGAACTTAACAGTAGCAGAAATCAGAAAAATATAATCCAAGTCACAAAATCATAATAAAAAACAAAACTGAATTTAACAGCTAAAGAAATCAAAATTTGTAGCGAAGTATATGATTTTTTTTGGAAATTTGCATCTGATTCAGAACAAAAAGTCGAATTTAACAGTCTAATTGTCTAAAATATCGAATTTCGTATTACAGGGTAAAAAAATCGACATTTGCATCAGATTAAAAAAATTGAATTTAACAATCAATAAGCTTTAAACATACACAGATTCATAATCAATTGCGTGCTTTGCGTCTTTGACTTCTCAGATTCTCGAACTGATTTCAGAAAGATATATAAATCAGAGGGGTATTTTAGAATCAGAAATAAGAATTGACTGAGGGATATTTCGCTGGATCAGAAATCAGAGGGAAAATCGATCCGGTCTCAATTCTCATCGGTGCAAGAGTCAAGGGCTCAAGGCGACAAGGTCTCAACAACTAACTCAAGGGCAAAATCAATCAGAGGGGGAAAAAGAAATCGTGGGAATTGGGATCAGAAAGCAGAAAAGAAAAAGAAGAATGCAAATCGCATATTTTTTTTCTCAACAACTCTCAACCTGAGCGCCAGTATCGGATCCAATAATTTTGTTGTCTTCTCATAAAATCCCGCCAGGATATCATATATCCCGATAGGTTGTTGTTTGTTTCAAATTCAAACCATAAATATGAATGGTTTTATATTAAGGAAAAGAAAAATGGTTGTGAATCACTTCTACAAAAGGTTAATTGTTTTTTGATTTTTTGGATTTTATTAAAACACTATAATGATTTTTATGAATTATTATTATTATTATTATTATTTATATTATTATTTTATATAGCATTAATTCTCAATGACATTAGAAATAATACATTCTCTATTGTTTAAAATTTTGCCACAAAAGTTTCAAGACTTGCCATTTTTGGTTAGGGAAATTGTCAGAAAAATCTCAATATTTTCAGAAAAGTTACACTTTAGTCCCAAGATTTTTTTTTGAACATAAAAGTCCCGATTATTTCATTTGGCTCAACTTTACAAAAAAGTCATTTTTTTCTTTTAACATTAAATGACATATTATCGTGTTGTTTACAAATAATCGGGACTTTTATGTTCAAAAAAAATATTGGGACAAAGTTTAACTTTCCTGAAAATATTGAGACCTTTTCTGACAATTTCCCTTTTGGTTATTCTTTAACTTTTTGACTCCAGACACTTTTGGTCTCTCGGTTTCGATATTTTCTACCGTTGCCACAAAAGTTTCAAGAGTTTGCAACTTTTGGTCCCTAACATTTATCAAATGTGACACCTCAAATTTTTGCCATATTAGTTTGTAGAGTTGGCGCTTTTTGGAAAAAAAAACGAACTTAGCAGCCAAAGAATGTAGCATAAATCAGAATAATATAATCCCAGTCACAAAATCATAATAAAAAACAAATTTTAAATCATTTAAATTAACATTAAGTTTCAATTATACTTTTTTTTTATCGTAAAATTTGAAAGATCAAACTTTTAAACAAAGAACAAAGTAGTAATCTGTATTTTGTTTAACTTAACTTTCGTGAGAATATTAGACCAATGATGTACTCATATTTCACTTTTTACTATTCATGTATCATCTCAACCTGTCTTTTTTTTTTTTACTATTCTTTCACTCTTCAAACCTAAAAATGATCATCTTCAATTCATCTTAATTTTTATTTTTACTTTCAAATATATTTATACAAATATCATACTTATTTTGTAGAGAATTAAAAATCATAAATTTTAATATATATTTTTAAGAAAATTAGTATATAAATGATTTAATATTATAACTGGAAAACAAAAAAATAAAAAAAACATTTTTTAGCCTTGACCATCAGAAAAGAATAGAGAATGTGAAGATGCTACCATACGCACGGAACCCTTCACCTAAACCGCACCCACAGTGTAGTGTTCCTGACCTGGCAATCGTGTCGTGTTCGGGTTGACGGGTCAAAATATACCAACCCAAAAACGACCCATTTAACTATACAGTCCACGGGTCGGCGGGATCATAGGTTGGCGGGTTTGGAACATAAACCCATATATGACCCGTCAACCCACTTATTTATACGGGTTCACAGGTTGGCGGGTTGGTGGGTCCGTATTGTGGGTTCGGGTCAGATTTGGGTTTCTGTGTTCGTGGGTCAGATTCCATAAATAAAATTGATAATTAAACAGGAATAAATTCTTGCTGCAAAACATAATCCTAATTTTAGAAACTTAAGTCTTAAACATCCAAATAAAAATTAAAAACATTCTGTAACATCCATAAAATTCATGTAAAATTTAAACTTTTTCCAAACATCCAAAAACCACCATTTATTACAAATTGTTTTCAAAATAGTTTTGATATCAGAAAAATGAGGAGGTGCATGATCAAGCCTTTACCTTCCCGTGTGATCATCTGAGGTACCTGAAACGAAATCCACAACTGTAAGCCAGAAGCTTAGTGAGTTCCCCCAAAATACTGATGCATAACATATAGTACACATAATACAATAACAACATGTAATGGGTCCACACATCTATAGATTGGATTACCCATGAGCCCACGGTATGAGTCTGGCATGCCCTCATTGGCCCTCAGCCCATATCTGGCTTGCTCTCGAGCCCACAACATAAGTCGGGTTTGCTCTCGGCCCACAACTTATGTCTAGCTTTGCTCCCTCAGTCCTCGGACTGGAATACATGAATAGCCCTCAATACGAGTCTGGCATGCTCGGTCCGGCCCTCAGCTCGTATATGGAATGCTTAGGATCCTCAGTATGAGTCTGGCATCCCCTCTCTGGCCCCTCAGCTCATATCTGGTATGGCTCCAGGGTTTGTTGGCTACCGCACGGAGGAGTACAACCTTAACCCAACCCACACAACATGTCGACATGTAACAGATAAACACATATAGATAATCATACAGTATCACAAGTAGTCCTACAGATCTACCAGACTAGCATATCAAACTAGCATGCATATCTAACTCATACTCAACATATCAATAACTACTAGGATATCATCCAATGGGCCAGCCTTGGTGCCTTCGACCCCTAAGTAGAGGAGGAAACTCACCTTACAAGTAGTGCTGAACCGGTAATATCAATCCCAACACACACTCCAACTCAACTGCTGCTACAATCACCAAGTGACTAACCTCATCAAAATCCTGAAATACCCTCAAGGTCAAACTTGGTCAACCATGGTCAAAGGAACAATCAACAGTTAAGGTCAACAGTCCATGTTGACCCAACTCGTCGAGTGCATCTTCCAAACTCGCCGAGTTCCATCAAAACTCAGAAACCGACGGGAAAAACCCTAGCCAACTCGCAGAGTTTGCAGAACGACTCGTCGAGTTGGCTAAGCACTCGTCGAGTTTTCCTAGTCTTAATTCATTCATTCGCTTTCCACAAGTCTTTGCCTCCAAATTGTGGATCTGGTCCCCTAGGGTTGAGATACCACGTAAGTTGCAAGCTTTACGTCCATGCATGGCATCAAGGGCTAAATTGCTAAAATAAGGCTTATTTAAAGGGACTTAGGGCATGAAGGAGGGCCAAGGCTTGAAAAGCTTGGAACTTTAGGCTCAAAGAGCCACAAAACATTCAGATTGCTCGGGAATTAGCTCAGGTTGCTCAATGGGCATGGTAGGTTCGTCCCTATTTTCATGCAACATCCTCCTCATTTCTTTCTTTCCCTTGTTCAGCTAACATAGCCCAAGCATGGCTTGTACTCCAACCACGTGATTGGTTCAGGTGCAGCTTCTACTACAACAGGTATTTGTTCAATCACCTCGGGGCTATTGATGCCTATTTCCATTTGCGTTCCCGACTCCACTTCGGGTTCTTGCCATTTCGATCTATACACCAATTCAGACGTTCGGTGTGTAAATGACGAGAATTAAGATAGGAAAGA